CAACAGCCCCAGAACTTCTTTTTTTTTTAAGTGTATAAAATTTCAACTTTACGACTGAACAAAGTGAGTAGCAGCAGGGTTTTAAGTGAGGTGCCCAGTAACCCAGCTAGTCAGAGCACAGATGAGACAGACTGCCGCCTTTATCCTTCTGTAATCAAGAAAGGCTCCACACTCTCAGCCTCATTGCCGATTTTTACAAGCTCCTTTTAATAACCTTTCTCCATTGCATTCCTGACTTATTACCTCCCTGGCTTCCAGCACTCTTATTTATATGCAGACTCATTCCAGCTGCACATCCCCATGTTTATGGTGTGTTTACTGTGTTATCTCCTAACTAGAGTCCATTATCTACTGAAACAAGAAGGATGTTCGCGCATGAGACACAGCTTGCCTGTGGCTGCCAGACCGGCTGAGCCCGTCACAGGAGGCAAAGATGGATCTCTGCTGGTGGAGAGTAACCTGCTGTTTTCATACAAGCTTCCCCTTGGGGGGCTCCAACAGGAGGAGAGACTAGAGGGCTGAGAGCATGTGACTTACTTCAGGGAACCAGGCCAAACGCCTTTTCAAAGTCTCACTTCCAGGCAAGCTTTGCCCTCTGACCAGGAACCACGGCCCGGGGTAGACAGGCCCATCTAGCGTGCCTGATACACTCCAGGTCAGAGAGGTTGCACTTGTAGTCAAATTGACTTAAACAGAAAGAAAGACTTTGTAAAGGTGGCTGAGAAATATTTGACCTAAATTGCCTACTTGGAGAATTTAACTTAGCTCAAAGCCAAGTTCAAAAGCTGTCCCCACTTCCTGCCTGAACCACCCATGTGGCCCATTTAGAATAACAACAAGAAGAGGTGCCCAGGGTGGGCAGTGCAGGGGGCCCTGGGAGGTGGGGCTGAGCCCTGGCCAGTTTGAGCCCCTCCCTCATCCTTTCTTCTAAGTATCAATGGCCATTACTGAAGGTGGTGGAATGGAGACTAATGTAAATGTAATATAGAGCCTGCCAGCTTTCAAGTCAGTAAGTGCTGTTTTCAAACTCTGGCTCAGCACTTAATAACTGGGTGGGTGACCTTGGTCAAGTGATCTAACCTCGCTATGACTTGGTTTTCTCATACGTAAAATAGGAAGTAAGAATAGCTGCCTTTGCTGATTTAGTGTAAGTTTAGAAATTATATATACAACCATTCATCTACATATACAATGCTGGGTGTTGCATAAGCCCCGGCATATGATCAGCCCTCAGTCAATGGTAGCTTTTGGGCTGTTTTTGTAATGATGATTATTGAACATAAAACTGCTTATTTGTTCCCTTGCCCTGATCCACCTCTCAACACAGCCATCTGTGCGGGACCAACCTTGAAAAACAAACAAACCCCTTTCATAAGGAACACAAACCCAGCACAGTGCCCGACAGTTAGTAGATAGATACTCAATGTATATTTGTGAAATTGAACTGAATTGTGCCCCAAATTTTACATCCATAGGCAGCTTCCTTGATTTGCCTCATTGACTTTGAAATTCCTCTAAAAAAATTAAGCTTGTCTTCCTCCTGCCTGGAGCTTCGAAGCATTTGGGCGGCAGTTATGAAATGTTTATGACTTTTTGTTTTCGAACTAGTTCACATTTGGTCATATGCTTTCACATAATTATATTAATACTAGGTGCAATTTAAGAAAACAGGAACAAAACTGATGGATCACATTTCTTTCTACGTGCTATGTATTTTGAACTGGTCTTCTGATAAAAGTGGGAGAGACTCACAGAAAAGCTTTAGAATTCTAGCTAGGGGTGATGGTTTTATACTGCAGAATATCGGCGTCATGTCTTCTAAGTCTGTCACAGGGTCTTAAGATTAGAAGGAAACTTAGAGGTCATGGAGTCCTACCCCCAGCCCAGGCAACGTCTGCCAGCTCATATCAGGGAAACTGTGAACAGCACTGGCTCCACAGGGACTGGCACCAACCCCGAGTCACACTGCCAGGCCTTGGGGTGACAGATGCCCCTAGGTAAGGAGGGGCTAATAGGCCTGGAAGGACTGCAGGCTAATCGGCCTGCCGTGGTACACCAAGGAGTCTTGCCTGGCTGTCTCCATCGTACAAAATGAAACAGGAACATGCAAGGTTAGTGACGAGAACATATTTTTAAGGCACAGAGCTCTAGCGTGTGAGTGTGTTCATATGGACATAAATGCACATCTTAAGACCTCGCTGCAGGTAATACTCACGATGGGGACACACAGTGGACACAAAGCACAATGCAGCTCATGTACAACCTTTCCTTCCTGGAGGTCACGTGTTACTTTTTACAGATGTCTGCTTTGGTGATTAACCTAGACTTCATTTAGTGCAAACTTCCTTCATGAAAATGTATTTTAAGCCATTCCTTTGCAGTGCTTGCTTTATATCCTTGGAAGTGGAGGTGGAGTTATATCCTGCAAACTTGCTTAGTCTGAGATCTAGTCCAGGCAGAGACCTGGCGAGTACCTCGGTCACAGTCCAAATCCAACAAGGGCTAAGTTTCCAGTGAACTGGGCTGGGGTGGGGGTGGCTGGTCCCTTGTCTGCATACTAAATCTCTATTTACATTTTAAATCACTATTGTGTCATAGGGTTACATTTTGACAGCTGCCAAGTAGTAGTTAAATTCAGAATTTTCCTCTGAACAGCAAATAGTTTATGTTTCAAATAGCATAATTTTTTATGTTTGTATTCCTCACCATAATTGTGTTAAGAAAGCTGTCAAGTTTGGGGACTTCAGGGAGTAACATGAAGTGGCCCTGGTGAGTTCCAGAGGAACTCTGTGAGGCCTCACATTCTAAATGTAGAGGCTCTGTTTACAAATATTCTGTCCTTCTAAGGAAGTGCTGTTGGTTTGGATTTGGGATTATGGTACGCAGACAGCTTGGGCTGTCACGGGGGCCTTGCATTTCTTATATTCATGTAGGCATTCATTCATTCACTCACTCATGTATTTATTCATTTACAAAGAGTGTATTTATAGTTTGTCTTTGCTATCTGGTGAGATTGGGGCCCCTGTTCTGCCATTAAGGTGGGGGACAGAAGTTAAAAGTGAGCTGCCTAGAGTAGAGAACCCAAACACTCAGGTTGATAAGCAAGATATATCTTAAGTAATTTTGATTCTGCCCAAAGAACTTTCAGTGTCTTGTATCTGGTGGTGGTGGTGGTGGGGGGCAACAAAAATGATTCATTTAGAAGAGCAAAGGCTATTACACACATGTGTGTCACATGCAGAAAACACAAAACAATAGCTGACATATCTTAAGGCCGTATGTTATCCTGGGTGACTAAAGAATAAGCTCAGATTTTCACCTTGGTAATAAAGTTCTTGCAGGTGAAGCAGAAAAAGTCAGAATGCCAGCACATTCTGTGGAGGAAGAGCTAGGGAGATGCTCAGAGCCAGTACCTCTCTGTGACAATGAGATGGCAGACTGGGAGTCCAGTTCAAGGCAGGACACAGGTCCACAGATGAGGTGAGATTTATACTCCCCAAAACAATCAGGCTATATATGTACTGGGCAATTGTGTTAACTTTTACATTTATGTTTTTTGTTTTAAACAACATAGAGTTTCAATGGAGAGGGGAGATCTGGCAAAGATTCATTAGGATGATAATATGTGAAATTAATATTGAAAGTTAGGGAAGAGTATCTCAAGGGAAAAGGAAAGGAAGGGAATCCCAAGTAGAGGAAATTGTATGCAAAAAGTGAGGGGGAGCAAGGCAAGTTATCCTCCTGACACTCAGGGGTGGGCCTTCCTTCCACTCAGAGTCACCACAGGTAAAGGAAGATTCTATGAGGCGTTGGTATCCCAAGGTGTGTCACCCACAATAATACTGACAAGAAAACACATGCTATTTTTTTCCTTAGAATTGAACCTCAATCATCTAGTTCCCAAAGGTGAACTTTAGGTCATTTATTTTTAAAATACTTATGGATCATTTACTATAATCCCGGCTCTTTGTGAGTAAGTACTGGTGTGAACGGGAGAGAACTTGGGTGGGGGTGACAGAACTGATGTTATACTTCAGAAGGAATCAAGCTAATGGCCTGATAATGTAGGCGGAAGGAACTCATATTTCTGAAAACAAGGCAGTATGTAATAGATGTGAAGTGGTTAAAACAAGCCAGGTTCTTGAAGAGAACAGAAGTTGGAGGAGGAGGAGGTTGTCAAATGAATTAAATATCTTGACAGATGAGGCAAGGAAGAGGGTGTTGGCCATTCCAAGAAGAATGTTATGTGACAATGAAAAGAGCCACAAGTGTCGTATAAATTGAGGAATGATGAGAATTATAAAGTACATATTAGGGACTCCCAGCAAAGAAAGATTCTAAAGGGTCTTAAAAGTCAGGCTAAGCTTAATTGTTAGGAGACAATGGGGGGCCCTTTGAATTTTCTTGAGCAAGGCAGTGACTTAAAAAGAAGAATCTGCACGGGAGCACAGAATAAATTGGTGTGCATGGAGCTGAGAGGCAGGCTGTCCAGTTGAATCACCATAGTCTGAATGTGAAATGATAAGAAATGGACCAGAGTTCTGGTTGTTGACATGGAGATGAGGGGTACAAATTGAGAAGGGGGTTCGTGATGGTGATGTACACTGTGCATGAAACAGTGGATGAAATCAAACCTGTGAAGAAAGGTGTAATGTCATGGAGAAGGAGCTGAGGTGTAACAAGGAAATGGGTGTTCTTAACAACTGTTTACAACACCAAACATGCCTTAAAGGAGTTATGGAGGATGTTCCTGTAGGAGAATTGGGGAAAGCTTTCACAAGGTACACATCCAACAACCCCAGCATGGTAAGCACAGGGTGGGGACTGGTTTACTACCAAAACCACCAGTGGGGTTAACACTCACCACTTCCCTTTCCCTGAACCTATCCAGTCAGCTGTTTTCCTCCATATTTCCCAAGCCAGAAAGTCAAAAAAAATTAAAAAATAAAAAAATAAAAATAGAAAGCTGAGCAATCTGCGGGATGCCATTTAATGTATAGTTCATAGTTCATTCAGGGCAGCCAGGAAAGTATGAGGTGACATATCAACTCATCCCAAATCGTTCTTTGAACAGGAAGAAAAAAATTCAAAGCTATACAGGGTCCTCCATGAAATATTTTGAGGATATATTTTGAGAAGGGAGGAATGGAGTATAATGCGATAAAACCGTTGGGATCACAGCTGTTTCCTGGAGCTTCGCTTTCCTTACCAGGGCAATTTGGAGCCCTGCTGATGACCTGAGGGTGCGAGAGGATGTCTTGGCTCCAGGAAGTGTTCCCTGGGAAACCAGAGCTTTTTATAAACACGTGGTTCTGTTCTTTCTGTTGTAAGAATAGTAGGTTCTGCTGTCCATAACTCTTCACCTGCCTCCTTCCCAAAGGCTGACATTCCAAAACAGTAACAAATGATGGCACATTCCCCAGAGGAAGGCAGCAGGAGGCCCTGCCCTTTTCAAGTTGAGCCAGCCAACATGGAGTTAAATTCTTGTCCCCATTTTCAGTGGAAACAGCATGTATCTGTCTTGCAGAGAGCCAGTCCACTGCAGACCGAGAACCTTTCAGTAGCTTCCTGACTCCTTGCAAGTCATGGAGTCTTACTGACTTCGGAAGGAGTCCGTAAAAATATTCTGGAGTCAACAAACCTAAGGATCTCAACAGCAAATAACAGCAAAAGTTTTGCAAGTGGTTCCTTGCTGGGTACCTCAAGTGATAATAAGACATCAGTTTCAATTGGTTTCTCACTTACCTGGTGTGGTGGATCTGCAGAATCTCCATCATAAATAAACAACTGCCTAAGACAAGACCAGAAAACAAAGGTTAAGAAGGTGACATCAGGAGCCACAAATTCTTAAAGGCCGATGCCCCTCCACAAACTACTGATAGTCATACCCCATGAAATTCCTGCTCTATTTTAACTGGATGGCCCAGTTAATGAATGCATCTGTTAATTTATTTAAGAATGGGTTTTCTTTAAACTATGACAGATTCAATTTTCCCTAAGATACACCATTCCAAAATCGATAAAGATCTGTGACTTATATTTATGTACAATTTCATGGGAGAGAAAGAGATTTTTGAATCCTTGTGGCTGGGGTTATAATTTGGGGTAACTTCAACTCATTAATTCACTATTGCAATTAATTGCATGCTTACCCTTGGCACAAAGTGCCAAGGGACTTAAAAAACATAAACACAACCAATTTTTGTCTTCAGAGGAGTAGATAAACTTACAGTCTTGCAGGACATAAGGATCAGACAAGGAAAGTAAAACTGATGTAAGAGCAATAGGAGAGGAGGATTTGAAATAATGCCAATAATAACAATAGCAATAACAATAATAATAATAAAATGTATATATAGCACACAGTATAAGTCAAGCACTGTTCTAATTATTTTAGACATGGTAATTCAAGTAGTCCTCTCAACAGCCCTGTGAGGTGAGTACAGTATTTATCTCCATTTCTCAAGTAAGAAAACTCAGTTCATAGACGTTAAGTAACTTACTCAACGGTCGTAAAGTAATAGTGTTGGGTTTGGAACGATGCTTATACACTGTAACTCCAAACGCCACGTTCTGAATCACTACGCTATTGGAGTCCAGAGCCAGTCAAATGCAGCATGGTGCAGAATGTTCAGGAAAACTTCTTAGAGGAACTGCATTGCAAGCCAGTCTGGAAAGATGAGCTAGAATTTTGAAGTATGAAGAGAAGAACAGACATCCTTGATAGGATGAACAATCTGAGCCAAGTTACGGAGACAGGAATAACCATGGAGGAGAGAGTGGCACTGTGATTAAGTGAGTGGTCCCTGGAGCTTGGCAGCCACTCACTAGCTCTGTCACTTTGGAAAAGTTCCCTAACCTCCCTGTTGTCTTGGAATTCTTATTATAAAGTGGGCATAAAAATTAGTGCTGAACAGTAAATTGGTAAACATTTGTAGACCCCCTCAGAACAGCCCTGATATATAGTTTGTGTCATATAAAGCTTTTCCAAGTGAGTAAATGTAAATTGGGGACACTGAAAGACAGGCTTGGACAAAAGGCTAAATGGTTTGTAGCTGCTTGTCAGGGTGTGTCTTCCCTTATCACCCGCCCCTGTCAGGACCATCTCCTTGGGATCCCAGAATAATTTTTCTTGGGGATAGAATGGGAGGACATCTCCTGGCCAAACACTATTATGTAAGACATAGTGCAATTAATGTCAAAATAACCATAAGCATTTACCCAGAGCCTGCGTGTGCACAGTACTTTTAGGAGTGCTCAGTAATTTGGGAAAAAAGAAGACATTGTGGTTCGAATGCCTCCAGGTGACCTGCTGCATCGGGAGTCCGCGGCTACATCAGGCCCGTGGCTGCTGCAGTACAGTGCAGACATGGCTGATCGCAGCGCCCAGAGCAGCCCCGGGAGGGTGGGGATGAGTGGAGGGGGTCAGAAGCCCTGACTAGCTCATTAGTGCTATCGGGATTTAAAAGAGAGATTCCCAAATCCCAGGAGGTGGCTCACTGCTTGGAACAAAACTCGATGCATTAACATCCTAGTATTCCAAAATGATCCCCAAAGCCCTGCAGTTACGCTGATGGAATGCAATGTATACCAAAGCAAGTGCTGCCAAAGCCCAGGCTGGGCGGGCAGGAGCGCAAGGGAAGGACTGAGAATGCTCTGAATTTCTCTATCTGTGAACCTCCCATTAAATAGGAGAAGTGCTTCTCAGGAGTCCTGGGCTCCCCACCCCTCGCCCTGCGGGCATTTCCGCCACCGTGTGCCTGTGGGTTGCAGACTTAGTTTGTCACTACATCAGGCCTCTGGATCTCAGCTGAACTCTAGACAGCCCAGCAGGCTTTGGAAGTGCCCCAGAGGCCATCTCCAACAGCCTGCTATCTGAGTTCGCTGCCTTCAGCCCAAGGGTCACCCCAGGAGATGGTCCTAGATCCAGCTCAAAAGCACCTTTAGTTCCTTTGGGGTGAGATGGGAAGATGCTGGTGAAATAAGGAGCCACAATTCTCACTACACAACAAAAACACCCATATGCATGGTTTGAAAACTTACCTTCAGCTCAGAGATATTAAGAGCTAGGTTTTCTCTCATGCTCTCCCACAGCACCTGATGGTCACCCCTGTAGCCCAGAGAGTATTAAAGAAGAAATGGATCAGGAGCATGCTCTCTGGAGTCAGACAGGTCGTGGTTTGCATTCGTAGCTCTACCGCATTAGAAAACTGTCTACCCGTGTTCATGAGCTCCCGACTTGAGTGTGTGTTCCATTAGAGATCAAATGACTACTATTTTCAACTCGCAAATCAGTCAGTGTATGAGCCGAGACTGGCTAATTGTTGTAACAAACAATCTCCAACTCTCAGTGGCTTAGCACAGTTTAGATTGATTTCTCACTCTTTTCAGCCTAATGTGGGTGGAGGGGCTCTGCTCCACATAGTCATTAAGGGATCCAGGCTTCTTAGATACAGCAGATCCCACCATCTCCCAGGACCTGGGCATTTTACACCAGTTTCTCCCTCTCCCACTGACAGACAAGGAAAAAATGAAGGAGTTAAGAGTCAAGTTTGGAAGTGACATACATCACTCTCACCCACATATTGTCACATGAACTGTTTGTCAATGAAGGGAAGGTAGGAAACTATACTATCTCTCTACATGAAGGAAGAGAGGAAATTAATGGGGCTCAGGGAACACTTGTATTGTCTGCACAATCAGGAAGGCTTCCTGGAGGGGGCAAAACCTGAGATTTATGAGGAGGCACATCCTTACCTCCTCCCCTGTCGCTCAGGTTGGAAGTTACCCCAGAGATCATTTCAGTCGCTATCTCACAGTTCTGCAAAGCACAGAGTGGAGTGCACAGTAATTGCCTGGACAACATTTGGTGTTTGATCTTAAATGGGATCTAGAGAAAAATGAAACAGACAGAGAGGCTGAGAGTGGAAGCCGGGCTCAGGGTCCGGAGCTAGAAGGTTGTTAATGCCTGAGTGGGGCCAGAGGGACATCAGGAGGATCCCATCAAATTAACTCCTCTAATGGTGGGCAGGAGGGAGGGCAAGAGACGTGCCCTACGCTTTGCAGCTGTTGTGTATATTAGAAATGTCCCCTATACAGTGTAAACATCTGCACAACTAATGCTGAACACCATGTATATTTGACACTCACCTGATTTGGTTTCACTGAACAGTATCTGGAGTATATAATATGAAATATATAAAAATACTCATTTATAATTAGCCCACTGTTGCTCCTCTTATATGGAGAAAACAGATTTCTAAACCCACTTTTTAAAAATCCTAATAAAACATTTACAGTGATAAACTCTGCATGTGCTGTTACAGGAAAGTCTTATGACTTAGAATGGTCATCAGAGGTCCTTTGGTCCTTGTCCCATTTTCCTGGAAAGATCCCAGCTAGTGACAAGAAGTACATGTTCTGTTTTTAAGACTTCAGTGAAGGACAAACACAGGTGAGCAGTGCCTGGCTCTTCTCTACTGAGACTTGCAGAGGCTGCTCGCCCACAGGGAACCGGCAGCGAGAACCTGAGCCCCCAGCGTCTTGCTCACTGCCCCTCCCCCTGCACGTGCCGTGTTTTCTGTCCGCCCCTGTATGAGTCAGCCCAGGCTGCCATAACAAAATACCACAGTCTGGATGGCTTGAATGACAGACATTTTCTCACAGTTCTGGAGGCTGGAAGTCTAGCATCAAGGTGCTGGCAGGGTGGGTTCTTGTAGGCTTCTCTCCTTGGTTGTTACAGTGCCTGCCCACTGTGTCCTCATATGATTCTTCCTCTGTGGGGGGCGGGGGGGGGAAGAGAGAGAGAGAGGGAGAGGGAGAGAGAGAGAGAGTGAGAGGGAGATAGAGAGAGAGGGAGAGTGAGAGGGAGAGATATCTGGTGTCTCTCCCTGTCTTTATGAGGACACCAGTCCTATACAGTAAGTAATACACCCTTATGGCTTCATTTAACCTTAATTACCTCCTTAAATGAAGGTTTGAAAGCATAATTCGTTCCAGAAACAAACTACTCGTATTGCAAGACATTGCTCGTTTATCACGTTAACAAGTATTAGGAATGGTTGCTCGTCTTGCGGAACACTCGCAAACCACAATTTTACTCGCAATCCAAGGTTTTACTGTATTTCTGCATGCAGTAGCCCCACTTATACACGGGAGATATGTTCCAAGATGCCCAGTGTATGCCTGAAGCCACAGATAGTATTGAACCCTATAGATGGATAGATAGACAGATAGACAGATAGATAGACAGATGATAGATACGATGTTTTTTTGTTTGTTTTGTTTTCCTATTCATACATACCTTTTCACTGAAAGGAAGCACTTTACAGCTTCTCTCTGGCAGATCCGAACTGCCCGCATCACTGCGCTTGTGCTCTGGGGCCAGTATGAAATAAAATAAGGGTCACCTGAACACAAGCGCTATGATGCAGCAGCATCTGTCTGAAAAGTGAGAGGGTGAACTCTGTCTCCCTGAGGTCTCGCACGGCCGGCTGTACCAGCGTGCTATTACTGCCTTTCTCGTTGCCCGCCTGGCCTGGGACATTTTGGAATATCCTTTCCAGAGGCCTCTTGGACCCTGTGCAGACACCTTAGGAGTCTCCTAATCAGACACAGTCCCCTAGATTTCCCTGGAAAAGTGTGGCCCACACACCTTCACGTCAAGGGCCTGTGTCATTTCCCAGGTCCAAGAAGATGAATGCTCAGCATGTGCACCAAGGGAATGGTGTATTTCTTCCAGGAAGTTAATAAGATTGTATATTTTTGCCTCAGGGCACTGGAGAAGGGAAAGAAAAATTTCCTGAAACAACATGTCTCTTGTTTAATAAAGTTTTATTATTATTATATATGAGTGTGGGAGAACGAGAAATCCATATCTGTGCTCCACCGTCACCGCTTTATTGGCTCGGAGCTTAAAAAATCAGTTTGGTGAATAACAAAATAAAGAACTGACTGACCGGCGATTTTTAATATTTGGCTCTTCCAGGAAGCAATCTAATAGAGTAAGAGCTTATTGGAAAGTGTAGTTGATGTGGAAATGAGCTACAGAGAGGGGTGGGCTGTCCTGGCTCGTACCTAGAGAGGGACAGGCAGATTTGACAGCTGACAGGACCCCTTTGATCGCTGGCTCTGCTAACTCAATGCACCACCTGGGCTTCGGGGAGTAAAAGGAAGATGGTTGTTTTGTTTTTTCTCTGACCCCGACCTCCAGGTCTTTTTTAAACCCTCCTCCAACCGAGAGCATCTCCCTTGCCTGGAAAATCCTCTATTTCAGGCTTCAGGCAGGCCCCATTCTTCTGTGATCATGTGTGTCCATGTACATGTGCGTGTGCACAGTGAGGCATGGCACCATTCCCCCAGGGCTTGGAGTCTCAGCCCGGGCTCTCCCTGGGGCATGGTACCCGCTGCTGCCCGTCAGAGCCAGGCAATGGCTCTAACCAGCCTTGAGCCACCCTAGGGACTTTGCAACCCCCTGCACATCCCAGGTTTACACCCAGGGTTTTCTCTGGCCTAGGGATGGAGGCTTCTGCCTCTAGGAAACATCCTAATCTCTTTCTGGAGCCACCCTTTTGGTGTCAGGCTGTTTCCTTTAATTTCCTGAGCTTCTTTTTTATGATTTCCAGCAAATGACTTTGAATCCCTGAACTAGATGGAACCTAAAATATTTTAAGTTTGGCTTTTCTGGAGGAGAGCAGTATATGTGATTTTTTTTTTAAATGTTAAAAGTAGTACTTTGTGGTCAGGTGGTATGAGCTAAACCACTCAGCAACCTTATTCCAGGGAGGCTGTGATGACAATAGGGCTGGGTTGGTGAGTGGACGGGGCAGGGGTGATATGAAGCATGAGATATTAGTGTGCTAGGGCTGCCATAGGCTGGGGTGGGGGGCTTAAACAACAGATGTTTGTTTTCTCACAGCTCTGGAGGCTGGAAGTCTAAGATCAAGACGCCGGCAGGGTTGGCTTCTTCTGGGGCCTCTCTCCTCGTCTGGTAGATGGCTACCTTCTCTATATGTCTTCCTATCGCTTTCCTTCTGCACACGTTTCTGTTGAAACTTCCCCTTCTTATAAGAACACCAGTCATATTGGCTTAGTGCCTACCCATATGACCAACTTAATTACGTCTCTAGAGACTCTGTCTCAAAGCACAGTCACGTTAGAACATTAACATGTGATGTTGGGGTGGGATATAGTTCAGCTCCTGACACACAGAGCAAAGGAACAGAACATGTGTGAGATGAGCCCGAGGAATCGAGAAGAAAAGCTGGTCTTGCCTGTCTCCGCACTCCTCTCATGCTCGAGTGTGCTTCCCCACTTATTAGCTGCCCAGAGTCCCCTCACCCCGGGATCCCTCCATCTATACATCTGCTTCCAGCACATGAAAGGTGCGATGATTGATGAGGCATATAAAGTGAACCCACACAGGCCACAGGGGAATTAGCCCCTACTAATGGAATCACAGATATTAACCACAGAAGAGGGAGATTATTTTGGATAAAGGAGATGTCCGTGCACCTCTGAGAGCACGTGCAGGGAGCAGCCAATCTCCCTGCCTCGGTCCAAGGCTAGATGAGGAGTTTCATTTGGTCTTTGTGTGTCAGAATCAGCTACTCGTGGCCTTGCTGTCTTTTTTCCACCAACAGGAGAGATTGAGAAACTGGCACTTCAGAAACATAGAGGCAGCAGAGAGCCTTTTGGACCTGAACAGGCTGTTTTCCTGCCGGTTTATCAGAGACCCAAGTTTTGCTTCCCAGAGAAAGTTAGGGACATTCTGGGAGGGGTGCTAAGCCTCTGTCAGGCAAATGTTGATCTGAATTACTGTTGGGAATAACATGCAGGAATGCATCAAAATTCAGCAGATTTAAGAGACTGTCCCAGACCTCAGGGCTACTCTTTTCATTGGAGGGTTTAGGTAAAGGTGTGGATTAACCCTCTAAAGCAGGTACCTCCTCCCGGCTAGAGCCTTTATCCAGCCAGGGAGCTCTTCGAATATCCAGGCTGTTTCCTGAAGGGGCGCCAATGAGGAGAGCAACAGTGCAAAGGGATGGCTTCATGCATCTCTGCTTCCGACACCCTCCATCTTCTGCCTCAGGGCTGTGCGTTCTGGGGATAGCTATTAAAAGCTCCAAGTCGTCTAAATTTTTGCATTCAGTTTTCATTATAATTTAAACACTGGCATGGATGGAAGTAATGAGCAGAGGCCTGTTGGATACTCAGCCAGAATTCTCAGAACCCCAGTGGCCTTGACTCTGAAAGCTTAGGGCCACTTGTCACTTAAATGATCCATAATTCTGTTTCAGATTAGTACTGAACAGTCCAATCAGTTTCTCTGAGGACCCCTTAGCTTTCTGCTTGGCCATAAGCATGTTGGAATCACTCTGCTGTTGGTCTTATGGACATGATTCCGGTCCAGAGGGCTTTTCAGAGGTGGGAGTTTATGACCCAAAGGACATGAGCAGCTAAGAAGCCCACCCTGCTGGACTATCTTCACACAAAGAAAAGCCCACACTCTCTGCATGAGTCACCAGAAAAATCCTTTGTCCTATAAAACTTTCCTCCTGTATTCTCAGTGCCTAGCATTATATTACTGGAATTTGGATCCCAGGAGATGATAAGACATTATGATCTTTTAAAGTCCTTTATTAAAATGCAAAGACATCTAGGAAGGGTGAAAGCTTATATTATCAACAAGAATTGGAAGCCATTGAGGGCAGGAAAGATGACTTAGATGCCTTTTCTCATATATTCAGTTCTGAGCTTCCCAAGATTCTCAGATGGTTAAGGCATTCCATATAATCAAGGTGCTGAGCTTGCTGAAGACTTACCTCTTGTACACCTAATTTAAGTAACACGAACTATTTTGATGGAGATCTCATCGAAAATGTTTCACACTACCCTACCTTCTTAAATGCAGCCAGCCAAATAACAACAAAACACTTCTTGATAATTCAAGGTCATTATTATGAACACCCATTAGTGCCTTCTGCATTGATTCTCTCAGAGTCCATTACAGTGGGCTGGGCTATTTGTACTCACCATGGCAGTTCTTGCATGTCTTTTAAAGCTTTCTGTCTTCTGCCTATCATCTCAGCCACTTTTGCTCTCTTCTTGCTCATGCTGAAGTGTTTGTCTTAAGCCTTCTTTCTCTTCTCTAACCTAGTCTAAGGTCTAGAATATAGGAAGTACTCAATTAATATTAGCAAATACACATGCATGTGTGAGTTCACGTGCTCGCTCACACACACACATGCACACACACACACACACACACACACGCTAAGAGAAGTATAATGCTGGTTTTAAACTAAAGCACAATCTAGCAATGTGTGTCAATATTTAAAATATGCTTTGGCCTAGATATACAACTTCTAAGAATTTGTCCTAAGGAAAAGCATGTTTATCACAATGTTGTTTATAATACTGAAAAATTGGAATAACCCAAATCTATCAAGAAGGCATTAGTTAAAAGAATAGCAGGGTATCTATACAATAGAATATGATATACAGCTTTTAAAATAATAAAGTAGAATTTTATTTATTGATATGAAAAAGTCAATGATATGTTATCAAATGAAAATGCAACTTACAAAGCAGTACTTCTGGTGTGATCTTTTGCCAAAACAAAAAAACAAAAATGAAAGGAAAGAAGAAAGAAAAGATATCAAAAATATCTTAAAAGTGTATTCCAAAATTATGTATCTTTGAATTATGGGATAACTATTAATCTTTCTTTTCTTTCTTTTTGAATGTTTTAAATTTTGTTTCATACAAATGTATCCCATAATCATATATGTATCATATGTACATATACAGTGGGTGCCAAAAAAATTGTATACACATTTAAAGAAAGGAAAAATTGTATTAATATATAACAATAACAAAAGATGAAGACAAGTCACATTTGACTTCTGCAATGACAAGAGGTGCTCAAAGTGGTTACCATCAGCGTCCAGACACTTCTGATGATGGTAAACTACTGCTTGAGCAATGATGACCAGTGTTAACATCTCTTAAAATGTGTATACATTTTTTTGGCACCCTGGTATATGCATACATATAACTTTCATAATCAGAATAAAGTAATACATCTATGTAACAGCTCAGCTCAGACCCCACCCCTGGGAGAGGTGCCCCTGGGTTCTCCCGCCTGTGTTCATGGACGCTGTTCCTTTGCGCTCTCACAATTCCCTGTGCACAGATTTTTTTTTTGCATTCATCTCTCTGCATTATAGTTTTCCTATTACATATCAGTCGCATCAGCAAGACCATGTAAATTTGAGGGCTATCTCAAATTTGATGAATTCGATTCATATTTGATTTTCCCTTATATGCCACCTTGCTTATAGTTCATGCTCAGTAAATATTTGTTGAGTGGATAGATGCATCAATGAATGGGCCACATGCATTCTAGAACTAACTCAGCCTTCAAAGTCAAGTGAGAAAGCCCAAGCAGAGGTGATGCTCACCTCGCCTTTCATAATCTGGCTGCAGCACACAGTCTGGGATCCCCTGAAGGGGTTCCCCCGGGCACACAGCAAGGACTCAGTATGTGTGTGTTGAAAGAAAGAATAAAGGGTTGAATGGGTGAGAATGAACAGAGAAGATAAAACAATACCAGTTCTATCCTAAGCAGAGGGTCCGGTGACAGCTGGCACCAAGACCTGAAAATCACCCTGAAATTAGGAGACAGAGATGCGAAGGAACCTTAGAAATCATCTAATCCACCTTCCCCATTTCATAGGTGTGGATACGCTGGCCCAAAGAGGAGAAGTGCTTTCTCAAAGACACAAGGTGGGTACGCAGCAGAATGGCAGCCAGAAGCTGGAGCTCTAGCCACCTGGCCTGGGGCCACTGTCCTGCAAAGCCACCACAACCTGAGGCCCCTGCCAGTTCAGCAGCTCTAGCTGGACAAATAGAAGGCGGCATCAGGATGTTCCCTATTCATCTCTGTCGGCCTTTCCTCCCTTCCTCCATCCACTCTATATGCTGTTTGAACTGGACCCCTTCCCAGAGCAACTGCCCCTCTGTCAGCAGTCTGTGTGCATCTAGAGACCTTGGCTGCCCTGTCTGTTGCATCTCACCTACCAGGGTTTTGTTCTGTTGAATAAAAGCAAATCCTGCATCCGGCAACAAACACTTTCCCATTCTTGAATAATTGAAAGGCTGGGCCCCAAGCCGCAGCAGGCTAGGAACTCATTAGAAATGGAGCATGGGGATGCAGCAGCCAGCATCACTCCCTGTGCGTGTGGGCACTCCGCATGGAGCCCGCCTCCCGGGGGCCTGCTGCCAGGCCCCCGGCCTGTGTGGGGGACAGTGAGAACTTTGCCAGCGTTCGTTTCTTCACAATTCCATAGCAACCCTCTGTCTCTGCTCCCAAATTAATCTACATGGTGAACGCGAGAAAGCATAGATTGCTTAATTTTCCCATCCCCAGGCCTGTGATACCTGATTGAAGGAATTAAAAGTATAACTCGAACAAATATCTTTGCATTGTTTTCACATAGACTAGCAGTGAGAATAAGCCCATTTCTCAGCTGACCTGTGAGAAAATACAGGCCTTCTCTCTATTTTGATCTAATCCTCTCCAGGTCAGATGAACAATACAGAACACTCCTCACAATGACAGCACTTCACAGCCTTTTAGCCACAACACCTCTTTATAACCACTCAGTGAGGCAGACGGAACAGAGATCTCCTTTGTCCGTGGGAGGTCAGAGAACAGAACAGGTATTGAACCCACGACTCCGGCCTCCAGCCCACGCTTGCGGTACCCTCCCAGGGCCAGCGGCCTCGGGCTGACAGGCATCCTGCCAGGCTCAATATGGCAATTACAGCTATTTCTACAAACTTCAAATATGGCCGGATGATTTGCCTGTATGTACAAAGCTATATTTTGTCAGGTTCCCATCATCTCTGAGATAGAGACCCAAGTCCTGATGGGGAGTTTCCAGGGCCTCCATGTTCCAGTCTGTCTGCCTCCAGGTTCTCACCATGTTCTGTGCTCCCCTGCAATGGTCACGCCCTCAACCGCAGTGACTTTGGTTTTCCACTGTCCTCAGCAGGGCCAGGTTTGTGGCTCTACTCCTTTGTATGTGCGTCCACCAGGACTCAATTGTTCTCCTCTGACTGAGCTCCTCCCCATCACGTAAGGCTCTGATTTCTAAGGATCTCTCACTCCCGAGCAGGTGAGCTCCCCACAGGGTACATCCCTATAGCACCCTCCACTCCCTTTCCATCTCCCTGGAGATAACTGGTCCAGCGGCTGTCTTTCCCATCACACTGTGAGCTCCGTTATTCTGCAGGAGCACAACTGCCTGCTTCATGTCTGTTCACCAGGACCTATTATGACATCTGACACAGAGTAGGCCTCCGTCAATATTTGCTCAATGAACAAACAAGCAAATGGATGAATAAAAAGCAAAAACAGAAACAGAATCAAAATCAGGCCACTAAAAAGTCTTTGCTGGGTATCTTTTCATTCTTTTTTTGGTTGTTATTTTTAATGAATATTTAGTTAGTGTCTGCTATGTGCCAGGAACTGCTCTAGAGACAGAAAAAGAAAAAATCACAGCAGTGAAGAAAACAGGCAAGAATTTCTGCACTCATGGGGTGGCTTTGGTTCTAGCTGAAGGAGATAGATAATGAAGAAAATAAAATGTATACTTTCATAAAGGTGCTTAGCACCCTTATAGGGGCAGGAAGGAGAGGAGGCAGGAGATGCTTGAACATCAGTGCTGACCACAAGTAGCTAAAACCAACTCTCTTACCACCTGAGACATCCCCACAGTCTGTATTCCACTCAATTTCTTTTTTATCCAATTCCCCAAATGGTGTACATTTAATTAGCTTTCTATTTTAATGCTATTTTAGCTCATTCTGAGATGATATATGGGTCAGGCACCATTTTTTTCCCATCAAAGTACTTCCTTTGGATAAATTCCTAAATGGAGAATTATTTAATCAAAATGTACTTTTTAAGATCTCAAGGTGTACTTTCATTTCGTTACTACAAATAAGCTTAGATATTTATAAAGCCATTTTGGCAAAAATGTACCACTTTCATCATATAATCAGCAGGACTGAGAATTATTGTTGGTTTGTTTAGTTGTCATTTTAGTAGATGTGAGAATGGTATTTCAAGGTTATTTACATTTGCACTTTGCTGATTCTCCCATTTTTATTTTTAAAAGTGGATTGCCCAAATACAAAGCAGTGCCTTTTTACCTTGTGGAAAAACATGACTGTGTTTACTAAACTTGAGGTCTTTGCATTTTCAACAAGAGAGCAGAGACTGCACCCAAGACGCAACTGGTAAGTAGATTCTGCAAAATGCTTAGACTTTTTTTTTCCATTGGGACAACCAGATCATGAAAGCTACTAGACTGAAATGCAAAAAAAAAAACCCTGATAGGGCTCTGAAGGTCAACTTACCATGTTGGCACCAAGTCAAATATGTTTCAAATACTTAAGGCAAATAAGCAATACTCACATACGATACTAAGAACTAAACATGGCTCCTAAGAGTGCATAGTACATCAACACCTACTGACCAATGAAAGAACAACCCTCAACGGTAATGTGTTTTGCTTTTATTTACCTTTGCTGAGTATGGATTTGGGGTTTTGCACCCTAGAGGCTTGATTATTTGGATTATTTCTTTATGGCTCAATAAACCAGTGAGTAAAGGCTTTTTCAGTCAATTATTTCATTTTAAAAAATATACTAAATAGCTATTTAGATGACTCATGATTCAATCTCATTCTGATAGCATATGTAGTTTTTAGTTGAACATGGACTCTTAACAAATCAGATGTCTTCGAATTTTCACTTTCAAAGACAGTAGTTGAAAATTTCAACCGACAATTTAAATGTACTATTAAATATGAGAAATGCCAGACCATTTATGTTTTTCTTATGGTTTGGCATATTTTTTCTTTTGATATCAAACTAGATATCATGTCTTTCGGTTTCAATTAGACTTCATGTATTTATATCCCTTTTCTATGTGGCATGATTCACATACAACATTGACCTTTTTGACGTGCAGTTCTATGAGTTTGACACATCCGGTTACAAAATTATAACAGCTACCAGAATCAAGATATAGAGCCGTTCCATCTCCTTCAAAAATGTCCTTATACCCCTTGGCAACCTCTCCATCTATTTTC